ATCTGACGAGGATTTTAGGGGGATTTTGGAGGCTGACCCATCCCAAACAGTTCGAGAGATAGCAGAAGAGCTAGGCCTTGGCAAATCCACTGTTGCAGATGGTCTGGAACGCATTGGGAAGGTGAAAAAACTCGACAATTGGGTGCCCCACAATCGGAGTGACCGGCAGGAATCGGCACGTCTCGAGGTTCCTTCTGCATTGCTTTTGCGCAGCAGAAACGACCTGTTTTTGGGCCGAATTGTCATGATAAAATGGGTCATGTATGATAACAGGAGACGTTCCGGACAGTGGTTGGATTTCGACGAACCACCGAGGTAATTTTCAAAGCCGAACCCTCACGAAAAAAAGATTCTGGTCACGGCTTGGTGGTCATCGGCTGGTGTGATCCACTATAACTTTTTATCACCAGGCCAAACCATCACAGCAGAACCCTACTGTGAAGAAATCGACGAATTGTACCGAAAATTTTGTCAGATGCAGCCAACACTTATCAAAAGAAAGGGTCCGATTCCTTTGCATGACAACGCCCGCCCACACGTTTCACAAATCACTATCCATAAATTGAACGAATTGGGGGTTGAAGTTCTACCTCAACCGCCATATTCTTCAGACCTTTCGCCAACCGACTATCACCTTTTCTAACATTTTCAGAACTCCCTTGCTGGAAAATACTTCATCAATCAGGACCAGGCAAAAAAGCCTTAGTGGATTTCGTGAATTTTCGACCACCCAGTTTTTTACTTTGATGGGATTTCTCGACTGCTGTCACATTGGCAAAAGTGTGCTGATTCGAATGGTGCCTATTTCGATTAAATCCGATGAGTATTAAAAAAGTTACGATCGTTTAAAGTGACACCCAAAACGCTGAGAACTTTCCGGACAACCTAATACTATCTTCTGTTCTATAAAGCAGAAGTTTTGTGTGTCGGTTTGTCGGTATGTCGATACACCATGTAGTGATAGACCAAAAGAAGTTTAAGAGGCAGGGGCAGGGTCCGCGTTCAGTTGAAATTTTCCTCTCTCTTTGTGAGTAGAGAGTCTTGTCCGCAGAGGCAACGACTACACCACTTTCGCAGGGAAAAATCGAGTGAGGAAGCCCACGATGCCGTCGTTCTTATCATTGGCCCAACCTACAATCATTGGCACCGCCCTCCACTCATTCCTAATGGTTATCTGATGGTGCGGTTGTTTCGCTGCTGCTTCTCTCCACGTCGAGTGGTGAGAGTGAGGTGATAAGGGAAAACAGCTGATATCAACAAGTGAGAACTCGTGCGACCGCACCTTCTCTTCGCCTTGAGCACGTACAACCTCAATTAAGCAAGGGGTTCTATATAGGCCTTTCCTATGATTTCTTTCTGGTTTTTCTTCACTAAGGGGTTACTTGCTCAAATCAAATTTGAATGCGGGCTCAGCCCTTAACACGAAATTCAACACCCGTTCATTCAGTAGTTCACACATTACACAATCAGCATTGAATCTTCCTTATTACTGGACCTATACTGGCGATCCTTTGTTCTGATGGCAGTCATTGTACGTTATATTGGCCTGTCTATTTTTCTGCTTCGACAAACAGTCATCATCACATTGACGTGCCTTTATAAAATTTAAAAACATTGCTGTTACATTATTTAGTATTGGAAATTCCAAACCTGCCCTTCGATATATTCAATTATAACACCTTCAACATGAAACCTAGTTTATTGCTGGGCTACTGCTGGTCGTCCTGCGCTCCAACCAGTGCTTATTGTACGTCATATAGCCATGTTGCTTCTTCTGTTTTAACCAATGATCCTTCACTGGAGGTGATGTCAACCGGAGCCGAATGGATTATTTTCTGATGAATTTAATATTAATATGTGTCCCAAAAGCGTAGCAATGCCCTCAAAAGAAATGCATATGGTACCGGGGAGGGGGGAGGGGAGATGGGTGAGTTCTCCGTGTCGAACCTGTTTACTTTACAACGCTGCTTTCACCTGTTTAGAAGCTCCACTCTAAAGTTATGGATGTTCAAAGAAAAGGTATATCCGCAGTTCCTGGCCTACTTGAAAATATACCGCAGAATAGCTTGCTTCATTGTAATTGCTGGATGAACGTTCAAATCCAAGCATCCAATTCGATGTCATCTTATGTTTTTTTCGGGTTTGGGAGTCGTATCCAGCAGAAACTTTACACGACGAGGTGGTGTGCTCTATGGTAAAAGCTGCGAAGGTTGATATCCTTGTTTCCCAGAATCATATCCGTTGATCGATGCTGACAGAAATTACCAGTTTTTCTAACAAAAGAGCGTTGGAGATGGGATACGGAGTGCAGTCGTAGAAGGTAAATTTCTATGCAACCTCACTGTTTCATTCAACGTTCATTTACTGAAGCGATCGGATCGTCGGCTAACTCTGGTAAACCTGCGTCTGTGTTTCACCGAGCATGGAGGGAACTAGCTGAAAGTAGTAGGATTCTATGGAATAGAGCGTCGATCAAGTACACACATACGGAGCATATCTGGCATAATTCGAGTATTTCAGCTCATTAGAAGAAAGTCCAAAGTCCAAAGTAAGGCTAAGGCATGTGTGTCACAGAAGCGAAAAGCGCCGACGATTTGGCTGTACAAATGGGTTGCCTGGTCTGTTTACTGGTTGGCTCGATCCCACGGACCGTTTAGCCGCTGAGAGTGCACATTAAAAAAATTGGTTCGCTGAGCTGCGAGTTCCCCCTGGCTCCTTAGCACCTTGCAGCACTACTGATCACCGTCCCATCAAAGAAAGTATGTACGAATGAAAATCGAAACGCAACGTAGGTTCACATGATAGGATCCAACGAAACGCACCCCTTTATTGATAGGAAGAATTCCCCTTAGATGAGACACTCCGATATCCTAATAGATATGTTGCGTTAGCTTCCACGGGTAGCGATACTGTCCAAACTAGAACAGAGGGAATGACTAAGTCTATGACGATCATTTATACTATTCGCTATCACTGCTATGTTGCCTAAGCTAGCTATGAATCCTCGACACTTTTTGGATGCTCCTTTAGGTTCCCACCAACAGAGAGAGTGGATCTACAAGATATTGAGCGGCAACCTAAGTGCTGTTGCTTCCTGTTCTCGCGCGCGGGAAAGAAGTTCGAGCGGCAGCCGACCCATTTCACTATCAAATAACCGAGCACCTGCCTTTTGATTGTGTTGGGGCACATTTGCTGAGACCTCCATCAGCGAAGCAGCTTGAAATCCCTCTATGTGATGGCTGTCCTCGCAAGCAGATTTTCTCATGGAGTTCAAAAAGGTGCATGGCCTATCCACGGGACTCGTTTAAGATGTACTGCTAAGTCATCTAAGTGCTTAGGCAGCGTTCAGACTTCGCGACGGCAGCGCTTCGGTCGCGCGTTCGACGCGATCGATGCGCATGCTTTCGACTCGCGTCGACGCGCGACGAAGCGCTGCTGTCGCGAAATCTGAACGCTGCCTTACGAATGTATGTCAACTGTTAATTATTTTCATTTTGACTTTGCTTTCTTGTAGCGCTAGTGACACCCCTGCGCTGTTCGGTGTTGACTGCCCCTCTCATCACGGCTATGTATGCGACAAGATAATTGGCTTCGCCGCGCCAATGGGCATCTTTCCGAAAGGACTTCCCCCCTATTGGGCATCCTTCGCGACGGTGTGCCCTGACAAGGAAGGTCGTGGCGTGGTGCGCTTTTCGAAAACGGTTTTCTGCATATTGTAGGGGCTCATGCAAGGGCCTGAAAAGTGTGCTTCATTTTCGCTGCGGGGCTATTTGAATCGAAGCGAAAAATCGCCGCAAGTGAGCTTCCAACTTGGGTCACGTGCTCAAGGGTGAACGGCTTCTTGCAATGGTTTCATCAACGATAAGAGCGCTAGCAGAGTCGAGCATCGGATGGCCTAGCGGATAGAGTGGAGGTTTCGCAATCGGACAGTGAGGGTGGGGTTGATGGTTCGGCTCCCCTTGCGTCGCGGCTTTTTGCATTTTTCAGATTTCGCTGTTCTCGCTTCCATTAGTGTCTGCGCATGAATATAACTCGGATATTTGCCATTTATGGGCACATTCTGAGTAGCTGTACCTCATGAGTCAGTGCTATTCAACTATTTCGATTTTCACGCACCATTGAACAAGATTGTTGCTGGACGTTGATCCTCATAGGCTATACAGTGGATCTGATTGCGAATTTAGTAACTTCTGGTGTGGTGTCAATTATAGACAATTTGGGGCCACATCTTCTTTCCACTGAATTCGTTATGTACACCAATATAGGGAACGTTCAGCGCTATTCTGTCGCCAAATTGCGTGGACGCCAAGAATATATTTGTCAGGACCACTGATTACCACTAAAAACGAATTTTTGGTCAAAACAATTGTTTTGACCTTCTTGGGTTTGCTTATTGGGTTGTCCGGGGTCCGTAGCGTCAACGATACGCATCGCTGTTACGAAGATGTGAGACTCCGCTCACACTGCCGACCAAACGGTCACCTACAACCCGAAAAAGTCAAAAAAATTTTTCGCTCAAAACTTGCTCCTAGGGGTAATCGACAGTCCTGATCACGATTCTAGACTTTATTTTCGGTTCCAGTGCCATCTGGCACCGGCATAGCGCCGAAGAGCTGAGTCTGTGCATACTAACGAATTCGAACGAAAAAGCAGTTTTGCTCCATAAAAGTAGGATTGTTCAGTTTATCGTGAATGTTTTTGTTAGGACCAATTATTTAGACAAACATGGATCCAAAAAATGAAAAATTGTAGAAAAGCAAAATTTTGTCCTCGGTGGGATCCGAACCATCGACCTATTTTTTACGTTTTTTTTTTTTCGTAGAAGCGCGCAGCGAAAATGAACCTCAGTTTTCTGGTCCTCGTATGTGCCCCTACAATATGCACAAGACCATTTTGAAAAAGCTCACCACGCCCTGAACGACCTCCCTTGTAGAGTGACCATAAATCTCTTCCCATGAGAATTTCAGGTAACATTTCCTTCACTAAATAATGTATTTCAGATGTGGCCATTTCCAGAGAGAAACAGTACATGGAGAAGTAGCTCGAAGTCGTTCCAAACGTGGCTCATTGTTATGTCGTGCTGCTGTGGAACGTATATTTTCTCACAATCGGATCTTGTATCGGCGCCTTTCCGGCGACAGGTTCATGTAACATCACAAGGAAAATATTTTTGACAACTCTTTGATTCATCTTTCTTTGATTATTTATGATGTAAAAGCGATCGAGCTGAGAGGGTACGGAGCGTTCCTAGTGGTGAAGCGTAGAGTGCACTCGCCAGTAATGAAGGCGAGTTCGAGTCCCGATTGGCGTAAAGACTTTTGATTTACTTTTGTCAGTGTCATGACAATTTTCGTGATAACTTCCAGAAAGCGAACTGTGGCGTTAACAGCAGATCATAAAGGAAGGAAAGTTTTAAAATTAATATTATGATAATTATTTATTCATGTTTGCACTTAATATGCGCCATGAAACGTATTGTTAGCATTACGTGCAACTATGACGGAAGAGAAAGCAAGCCGTTATCCTGAGAGAGTTTGGTAGACAAACTGCTTAGAAGGCCGCTCACCAATACTGCGCTCACCTACCACGGTTAGACAAAGTTCCCGGTCTTTATGATGCTGGCGAGTAGTGCTTCCAAGCGCTAGTGCGTAAAACGGCATCATACTTCGTGACAGCAAGAGCGGCGATCCTCATCGCGGGTATGCGACGAGGGCGCTCCAACGCTTTTACTTGAAGCTCTACCAAATAGAAGCTCCAACGCTCTACTATAATAAATAGAAGTGACCTTTTTTTCTTAATAGTGGTCGCCAGCTCAATAGTGGTAAATCATCTGGGGGGATCCTTTGCGATAAGAAAATGCCAGAGCGTTTAAAGTCGAAAATCCACCGTACTGTCGTCCGACCTGTCGCCTTATATGGTGCCGAGTCTTGCACGACCAAAGAAGTAGAAGCCGCCTTCGTTGTGAGGAAAGATGCGGGCGTCACGCGATCGGAGCGATCTGTAACGATCGTGCGCAAGAAGTATGGCGTGGCCCCCCATAGCAGAGAAAATGCGTGAAACGCGCCTTCGATGGTACGGGCACGTACTTCGCGCGAAGGCTGACACCGTCCGTAAAACTGCTCTCCAACTCGAGGTACCAGGAAAGCGGCCAAAAGGAGCGTCCCAAACAGCGCTGGCTCGACACACTGCATACCGACTTGAAAATAGCCGGCATTCACTCCGATCAGGCATTCAATCGGGGAAAGTGGACGTAGTTTATATCAAAAGAGCGGACCTCGCCATTAAGCGAGACAACGCTGAGAAGAAGAAAAAGAAGAAGTGTGGTCACCAACTAAAAACTAACGACTTTCGGTGTTAAAGAGGACCTGAAATGAGAAGCAGGGGTTTCGCCTTTTTTTCTTGAGTTCGGGACCAAGGGCAGCTTCATTTCCTAGGTGACTTTCTTCTTGTTGCTTCTGTTTTCATTATTCAACTGATATAAGTGTCTTGCAAGAGAGGTCGTTCAGGTTGTGCCCGCTTTTTCGAAACGGTTCATTGCACTTTGTAGGGCCTGCCATGAACCATAAAAGTGGGCTTCTTTTTGGCTGTTCGGCCCCTGGAATGCCGAAAAAGGAGCAAAAAAGAAACCACATTTGCTTTTCGCACATTTGCCGCAATGGGCTTTGCGTTTAACATGAAAATATAGAAAAACTAACGAATGCACAAAATGCCTCCCCCTAAGCCGCTCTGCGTTTCTTCGCATCCCGCACGGAACAGAAAGATCCAATTCGAAACGTCTTACTGCTTCTTTTTTTCCACTGACAATTCGAATGGCTCATACACTTTTGATTTTTAATTCCGATACCTACACACGGCTTACCGCCCTCGAACTAATGGAAAGCATCCGCAAAGCAACTATCTGAAACTGTTCGTACTTCAAAATAAAATAAATATCTGAAACTTCTCGGTTGCAGACCAAGTAAATTAATATTTCAGAGCGCTGTGCCTTTGATGTGGCGTGGACTCAAAGTTACTTCATATTACACTAATACAGTGCTAGAGTGGGAAAGAATTGTAAATTAGCTTCGTTAAAAAAAACCGATGTGACCTCGTAGAGAAGAAAGCTACTGTCAATTTTTTGTTGAGCTATCAGAAAGAAATCAACAATCCACCTTCACTACTTGTTCTTGGCTGCTGAATTTTAAAGGCGAAGACCTTACACATCTCCGGCATCTCTCATAATTTTTACAGCTCAGTGGTAAATGTTGTGGGTCTACCTCGACGAGCGCACGTTCGCCCGGCTTGATTTCAACCGATAGTGCCGCTTTTTTTTTCGCAGGTACAGGGCGCATGTCCCTCGCCAGTCAGCAAAGCGGGCATGGCAAAACTGTAGACCTGCCCTGATTGTGACAATCCTCTTTTTGCGCCTTCCGTTCTTCGATGCGTCTTCAAACCACTTGGTACTCAGTATATACCCAGGCTTTCAATCGATGCTAAAACGTCAATGTAATCGAAAATAAACATAAAAAAAACTACTTGCGAATCAAATTAGCATATTTCTATCAATTATAGTTTATTAGTTTTATCGACCTGACTTTGGCAGTTCATAATAATACCTGTCGGATCGCCCGGCTTACGCCGAGCTCTCCTCTTTTTCTTCAGCCCGGCTTCGCCTGAGCCTCTCCTTTGGAAAAGGGAATTTCTATCCTTTCACTGACTTGCTATAGTATATAATGAGCTGTATTGAACGAATCGTAACAGCTAGAACTGCCCGGCGGGATTCTGCATTCCTGAGTCCACGCTTATTGTTGCAGAAGGGTGGTGTTATGGACAAATCTCGCTTCCTATCTGCATCGGAACGCCTACCGATCAGCGCTTTCCTTTTCTATTATGCAATCCATTCGATTACGTCGCATGAAGATTGCAGATGCTAGTATTTGGGCTACTTATGTTGATTGTACATTCTTTCTCTAGTATTACTCGTTTTCATCAGTAATTAAAAGTTTGAAAGCAAAGGTGATATCACTCAAAACATTATCTCAAATTGACGTTAGAATAAATGCGTTCGCAACTCTGCTAGCGGTACGTTGCCTCCTTTCTTTAAAACTTTCAATTTGCGTCTTTCACCCAAAGTAGCGGGTGTGCCACCTTGTCTAAGCGACCACTGTTCGTTTCTCAGTGTACCCCACCACCGACCGCAACCCACTCTCCCAGTGTCCCATTCCAGGCCCTTCCCTACCGAATCCACTTCCACGCTCTCACGTCAGGCTCTGCCCGCGAGAGCTGTCGTAAGTGGCCTCGCAATACGCAAAACGCGTCTCTTATGTAATACGGCGGCGCTTGCCACATTCAAATCATTACGTCCAGTCGATACAACGGCATGAATTCGTTCACAACTCTGCCACTGGTTGATATTTCCTGCTTCTGCCTCCACCGCTGCGGTGTCTTCCCAATCGTACAGCCACCAACTCCAACCCCTCCCCCGAAAGCCTCAGTCCCTTCCTTTATCCTGATTCTCTGCACGCGCTTACGTCTCGCTGCCACGCGAGCAGTACATCCTATATGGTTGTCTTATACAGTACAGGGTGTTCTCACATCCGAAATATCACTTCAAATTGATAGCACATTATGGATTGCCTTGCAACTTTGCTAGCGGTTGATCCTTCCTTTCTTCTATTTGTCGCCTTCACCGAAGCATTAGTGAAAAGCTTCGGCTCACTAAACCGCAGCATTAGTGAACACAAGCTTTCACTAATGCTTCGGTTGTCACCATTGTGGTGTGCTACTGTTGAAGCGCATTTCTACATTCCCCCCCCCCCTCCCTACCTTCCTCTAACCTCACGTCCCACCCCTGCCCGTCCTCACCCCCCCCCCCTTGCCCTACCTTAATTCCATGCTCCGCGCGCCCCTGCTCTTCCCTACCCTGCCCCACTGCACTCACGTCTAGCTGTACGCTAGCAACCCATTAACCTCGCTTCCCTAGCCCTTTCTCGCCCCACCCCGCCCTACCCTATTCCCTATGCCCCCTAACCCCTGCCCTTCCCTACCCTGTCCTACTGCAGGTGCTCACGTCCAGCTGCCACGCGAGCAGCCCGTGCAATGGCTCGGAGTGCACTAAGTGGTTGTTATATAGTGGAGTTATCGCAATCAAAACACTGGATGATACATCTGCACCGAAAGCTTTCTAGATTTGACTTTGGCTAGCGGTCGTTTCTCTCTTTTCACTTACATGTTGAATCCCTTGAAGCATTTCTGCGGACGGACAAACATACATACATACATACATGCAGACCGACCAAACCGACACACAAAGCTTCTGTTTATAGAATATGAGTGATTGTTGATTCGAAAAATGGGGTGCAAAAATTTTCGAACACCAACTATTACTACCCCACTTTTCCGAAACAGGCCGGATCTTGATCGGCTTTTTTCCACTGGCAGATTTGGCTGAAAGTTGAGTTCTTTGGGTAATTCAACCTCCTGACACGACATATCAGATCCGCTTGAGTGACCTGGCGCCTGCGGCCACGGTGCGCACGGTGCAAGGTACCCTATAACCGTAAATCTTGGTTACAAATATCACATTCATTTTTGGCGCTGGCGCTGATGGAAGACACTGCGATCATCTGCGCTCTGCTAAGGCTGAGCCTGACCTGAAGGAACTCACTCTTTCTCCCGGGCTCAGCCTCAGAGATGCGTTAAATGCTGGCGTCAAAAATTAAATGTCATATTCGTGATCAGGGTACCAAACAACCCCATTATGCAGGTTTTATTTATTTTGATAAAAAAAGGTGTGGCGCCAAGTCAGCGCTTAACGGCGCCAAATGGGGTCAGGACTGGAAACTAATTCTGTATTCGTGATCAGGACACCAAATAACCCTACTATTACAAATTTACGGTCAGAATTCGGTAAGAAAGGTTGCGGCGCCGAACTAGCGCTAATTGTGATCAGAACACCGAATTACCTGTACGGCAAACTTCCACCAAAAAACTTCCTTGACTTTAGGGTAGTAGTAGTTAGATAGTGCCGAATTTTTTTTCTCCTACGAAAACATTCTCTCGAGTTCGAGGTAAGGTTGCGCCGTGTACTTCAAAAAGTGAGGGTATATTTAACCTTTTCTCATATACTATTTCACTTGCTGAATGGCCATTATTATCAAGAAAAGGTCAGTAATGTTCAGTAAGAATATATAACAGTAATAGTATATATAGTATTACTACTATTACATATTATTACTAAATACTATTGACCTTTCAGGGACGGTTATGGGCACACGAATCCCTTCCGCGTACATATTTCATGGTCCCAATATAAACGTGCACGATCTTCCCAAACGATATCCTCATCAGCTGATGGTGTTCATGTTGCTCGAAGCGCCACCGTACGCTGGAGGGGCTTGGAAAAAGGTAAAAACTGGAATGGCTTTCAAGGAATCAGCAGCTGAACGGAGGCCTGTAGAGCGCTACAGTAACACAAAATTGATCCAGATGCCGGTCGATTATTTCAATGCGACGATGACATACAGTAGCGACTCCAATTACCGTTTACCTTATGGCAGATTCGTAAGGCGCTCGGCCATGGACGAGGAGAAGAGTTATTTTACAGAAAGCCAGGTGATATTGTATACCTTAATATTAGTTTAGTGAGCACCGCCTTTTCGAGTTCATAGCAAAGAAAGTTGAACAACTAGAACTCACCTAAAAATGTTTTAATAATAGTCTCTCTTCTTGTACATGAGCACACCCAAAATACCCGCAATATTTCTTGGAGAGACAGGAAGAGCGCGCATTCGTCCGCGTAGACTAACAGCGTTGCTTAAAGCCAGTCCCCAAAGCTCGAACAACTCCGAGGCATCTTTCTTTGTATAGGTGGTCTGGCCCTCAGTCACTGAGACTGTTCCATTTCTACGGCTTCACACGCAGTAACTAAGCTGCTGTGACCCTCAAAAGCGGCATTTCTAACGCCTCCTCAGTCACCCCACCCACAAAACTCAAAGGCTCTCGAAGGTTATTCTCTGTCACAAGTCCAGTTTTTACACCGCATTTTTCGTATTTCCACTTTTAGATGGTATTACCTTTGTGTGACGCAAAGAGACGATTAGTCAGTCAAAGGCGGCAGGGTGTCGCATTGTTGGCAAGACGAGCAGGTCCGGACAACTCGAACTTCAAGGCTGCATTGGGTCTCTATGGGGTGTGCCCACGTTATTCACATTGGCTCACGACTAGTTTACAACAGCACGGATGACGTGATGGACACCGTCACAATTGGTCGCCACTAATAATAGCAAATTTTTCNCCGAAATCAAGATGGCAATTTTTCTCCGAAATCAACAGCCTGCCATGAAAATGGTGGCATTGATTGAACTGAGGGCGAAGGCACGAACACGGAATGTCTTTCTGGTTTACAGTGGTTGCTTTCCTGAAAAAAATTAGGATACAAGTCACAATAACAACCATCTTTTCTGCGGTCTATTTGTAGTTTTTTTATGAACAGGATTCATGTGTGGTTATAGAGACTCTCGCTCTATTTAGCGTTGTTACATTATCATTATTGTATCATTATTATAACCTTTATGACATTACCTTTACTCATTCTGCTGTAAGCTCCAATATCGTTATCAGTAGGCTGATCTGAACGATTGTATAGGCTTCTCTCACAACATTTCCTTATCATGTTTATATCTCCTTGCCAATACCAGCAAGCTCCGCCCACTTGACCAGCATAAAAGGAGCCCTGGTGAGCCGAGCTTTATAGTTTAATTCTTTCTTATTGCGGTGCTTCCAGATAAACGTTTAATTACCCAAGTTTGAGGTTTGAATCACCGACGACATATGGTGCATCGGACCTGAGCGACCCAGGACAAGTCAAGGATCGGTCAAGGAGCAGAAGTCCAAGGATCGATCGAGGAACGAACCACCAAAGGATCGGACAAGGAGTAAGCTGCCAGGTACCGATCGAAGGATAGGACGCCAGGATTCACGTCCTACTCTTTGAGCGAAGGAGTGAGTGTACATTCCCGCTTCGCATAAGGTCCTGTCTGCGCATGCACAACGTCCTTTGTCTGCACCACCGAGCGATTGCACCACTGCATCATTAACGATCGGACTGAGTAGTCGCACTAACATGACCACATTGCTTTCAAGTAGGCAAAGACTTTCTAACCAAATCGGTAATTCGGCTCGCCGGCTGTAGTGGACGAGTACAAGGACTTAGAGGCATGGGAACTGGAACCTCCCTCTGAGGACCACGAACGTAGGACTTATCTAAGGACAGAGAGGATGAGGATTCGGAAAATCAAAGCAATCCTCGAATCAGAAACAAGCAACGTGGACACGGCTCTCGAGCGCTACAGCAGCGCTGCTGATAGCCTCGATGCCAGCACCCCGTCGCTGGATGAAATTCTCGAGAAAGTCGGCTCCAACATTGAAAGGGCTGCCGCCACACTGGACAAAGGGCGCGTAATACTGACAGCAGTGGCTCGCCTTTCAGGAGAAGCTTGGTAAAGGGAGCTTGCTGGTATTGGCAAGAGATTATAAACATTATAAGGAAATGTTGCGAGAGAAACCTATACAATCGCTCAGATCAGCCTACTGATAACGATATAGATAATCGGATGAAGTGCTACAACAGAATGAGTAAAAGGATATGTCATAAAGGTTACAATAATGATACAATAATGATAATGTAACAACGCTAAATATGTAGAGCGAGGGTCTCTATAACCAACACATGAATCCTGTTCATAAAAAACTACAAATAGACCGCAGAAAAGATGGTTGGTAGCTGTGATTTTGTGCTTCTTATTTCTTTTTTCAGACGAAACAAACCACTGTACAACCAGAAAGACATTTCCGTTGTTCGTGCCTTCGCCCTCAGTTGCAATTCAAGCCACCATTTTCATCGGCAGCGGTTGACTATTTCGCGCAAGAACAAAATTGCCATTATATAGGGCACCCATTCTGACGGTGTCCACCTTCATTCCGTCGCTGTTGTATAAACTAGTCGAAGAGCCAACCGTTTCGTGAATGTTCGACTGCCTACGTGGTGCCTATAGGGCGTGTCTTCATTTTGACAGATTATATGTAGCTTAATGTTAGAAGGTTGCTCATCCGTGAACCTAAATTCGGGGGTAAAGCTGACATGGTCGACCATCAGTTTTCACCAAATTTGGCTAGTTACTTGAGGGCCCGGCCGCGCCTGTGTGTAGTCGGACGATAGCGACGGTATGTCGTAAGCAAAGATGAGAGGGAAGCCGGATGTGATTTATCGTCTGGCGAAGACGGTGAGGGACTTTTTAAAAAAGACATATTCTAAAGCCAAGTCCCGTTACCGAGAGAGCAAAACCTGGCGTGAAGAATTCCGGTTTTGACTGCTGGGCGCTTATTTGTTAAACACAGTGGTCTACGTCTCAACACACTCTGAGCGACCGGCTGTATGAGACTATAAGCCCCCCAGCTGTCGCACCGTTGTCGGTGCGTCTTTCCCCCGCCCGAAACTGCACGGGGCTCAGGCGAGCTATGGCCGGCTGTGGATGAAAGTCTAATTCCCTTGCCTACACCGCCCCAACACTGCAACTTGCGGGGCAAACTCCTTCTATTGCCAACAGCGCGTCCACGCACGCGGCTGTCTCGCGCGCGGCTCTCTTGGCTTTTTGCCAAGTCCTGTAATTGTGCTCTGGAATACAAGTAAAACGCAATTTCCTGATGCGGATAACATTTTAGGTGCTGCAAAATAAGAACCGAAGATGATGACGAGGGCTAGAACTCAAGAGCAACTGTGCTGCTTCTGCAATATCCCTCAGAGGCCGCGCATTTCCACGAAACATGAAAATAAAAACGGTCTAAGCGTCGCACTGGTTAGTTTAAAGTATTTCTATGGTTTTGGAGCCGAATTCGCGTGATCTTATGCGTTTCCTTAGTTTTTTTCATTTGTTTTATTTACATCTACATTCGTTGTTCTTCATTTCTAGCCTTTGTCATCTTCATCACCTTCTATTCGGACTTTGAAGCATGAGCAACACCTCAAATGTTATCCGCATCAGGAAATTGCGTTTACTTGTATTCCAAAGCGCAATTACAGGACTTGGCAAAAAGCCAAGAGAGCCGCGCGCGACACGCGCCGCGCGGACGGCTGTTAGCATAAAGGAGTTTGCGCCGCAAGTTGCATTTTGGGCGGTGTAGCAAGGAATTAGACTTTCCCACGGCCCCGTACTCTGACCCCGTGCAGTTTTGGGCGGGGAAACCACGACACATCGACAGCTGGGGGCTGATAGTCTCATACACCCTCAATGTGTTTGAGCGTACCATGTGTCTTAAGGCGAAAGGGTGGCCTTCTGCCGGTTATACCTCAGACGTACGGTGGTGCTTCGTAAGGTTATGTTTTCGTTATGTAGACTATTCGCCCTTATTCGCTTCGAAATTTCCCTTGAGATAGACGAATTTACAGGCGAAGGAGCTACTTCACATGGCAATCCCAAGCTTTTTTTC